TGTAGCGACGGCAGGCTACCGAATTTCTACACACACCAAAACATTTTATGGTTGTTCTACCAAGATGCCATTCAAATGGACACTGACGCGGGTGGGTTAATCTACTAGGTTTACCACACCAGACGTTATGAAGGCATATCTACCAAGACATGCTCAGCACAGTACACAAAAAGACTGGCGTCGCGAATTGTGCAACAAAAATCCAACAAATTGATATCAGATCCAGGAGAGTCGGCCAACCGGTATGAGATGAAATCGATTGAGGCAATGTGAAAGGACAATGTAATTAATCTAGGTACTACTGAAATCGGAAAAATAGATGAAAGATTTACACCATTATCGGTTGGCAACGCAACTGTTTCGAACGTTTGCATCTCGATTGGAAAATATGAAATTCATCAAGTTGGACGATGTTATGTTGACTGTCAGGGTTTGGATATATCTTCTGGTCTACACTAGAACCACTCTCCCATATTCTCACATTTCTTTTGATATGCTTTACAGCATCCAGTCTCTCTGAGGGCGAGGAAAAGATCATGGAGATATCAAATGACACGGTCACTTTATAAACGGAACGGGTTCCACACACCAACCAGCATGGTATTTAGCTGGGCGTCCTTCTAGTGATTCCCCACAGAATGAACAAACTTCATAAAATGACCATAAGACGCATGCCTTCATGATCCATTTTTCTCTGTCTCACGCGCACTTGCTCATTGAACCAATCAAACAAGCCCCCCCCCCCATATAAACACACGTCATTCATTCCGAACTGTTTGTGCATTCACGGACCAAGTGCAGCAGTATATGGTTGTATTTACACGTGTATAGGGTTGTACGAACCCCGCTATTGATTTTTGTCATCACCGAATCCTACAACGGTATATAACGCTTATTCATAATTTGCATGTAGTAACTGATATATGCGCACATCACTGCAGTAGACATCTTGCACAACATTTCGAATCTTTCAAACACACAAAAACTGATGGTTCACTTATGCTTCATCCAATCACAACGCATCCTTCATATTGATCGACTGTTGTGCGATTGTACAGTCCCCAACTGGACACCCACGCTAGAGTAAGCTTTGGTAATACATTATGCCAGCTGGTATCTTGTTGCTACCACACTATT